CCAGCCAATGAGATTGTCGTTTGCGCATTAGTTCCGTCTACTACAGGAAAACCCGGCAGTTCTTAAAAGCTGAAGAATTCCAAAGGTATATCGTTTACATGTAGCGCATCAATTCTGCATGTTATGTAAGACTCGCTCGCTCCTTCTGTTTGCGTGTGTGAGAGAAAGCGACGGCGAGTCGTGCGCCTTCACACTAGAGTTTACGTTACACCAAATACACAAACACAGGTGCACTGCGCATCCATTCAAATGAACTGAAAAATATCACAGATCGCTTGACGGAGAGTGAAACTCTGAAGCGCTCAGTCAGAGTGTTCTGTCAGTGAAAATATATCAGTGCTAATCATATACTCAGCCTCCAACTGAGTAAAATCTGAGAATTTATTAGCCATTGGCTAATATTAGACATCATTTAGTCGCCCAGAGTGAAGATTTAGTCGCATATGCGAGTGATTTACTCGCAATGTAGAGGGTTGCCAAATTTTTAACCTTAGGAGCAAGCATCAAGCCCTAAATTGTAGTTACGTAGTTATGTTGTAATATTTCTGTTTATAAAAATCCAACAATTCTCTATTGTTAATGTCTTAATAATGCAAGATTAATCTGAAAATAAAAGAAATCCAAAACTTTATTGTAGCCAATGTTTAGAACATCGTTTGTGTCTGGTACATTAATTTTATACCTAAAATACTGTCAAGGTAGACGGCTCACTAGGGTTTGTACAGTAATAGTGCCAACTAAATGCTCTGTCCTGTGTTTCATAGGGATTTGAGACGCCTCTCCACTTTGCATGTAAGTTTGGCTGTCCAGAGGTGGTGAACATACTCTGTTCTCATCCAGACATCGACAAGAACTGCAAGAACAAGTACAACCAGAAACCCTCTGAGGTACAACAGCTCTGATACATTAGCTTTCATGTATCTTATCTTATTTATCAGTCATCTAATGTATTCCCTTAATTTAGGTCATTTGTGATAGAATGAAAGAAAAGGGTAAAGTTCAGGAGGTCAAACGGAAGATAAATGAATATTTAGAAGGTAAGTCACAATATATAGTTTTGTATTCATTTAAATTATACTTTAAAAATGTAGATTAATTGCATTCCATATTCTAACACTCATTACTGATTGGCTACAGATCGATTGTACATCCCCTTATTGAGAGCCACCGATAACTCCTCCCAGCCTGTGATTGGTGCACCTTGGTCCCCTGAGCCAATGGAAAACCAGTCACCACGGTTACCCAGAAGCCCAAAGGATCCAGTTATGGCAGTCCGGGCCTTTGCTGGACCTTTAAATCCATCTAAAGTGAGTTTTATGTAGAATATGTAGGAGTTTTTTGCTAATATGTTTAGTATTATGTATTATGACATAATCAAATTTGTCTATACCATTGTTATTATAGGCGGATGAGTTCAGACGAGCATGGAAGACTCCTCCCAGAGAACGGGCAGACCATTTCCACAACATCCTGAAGTCTGACCCAGACCGTGGAGCTGAAAGAGTTGGCAGGTCAGTGCCAAGCTATAATTTATGGAAGCTGGTCATTACTTGTATTAAAGACAAATATTTCTTGTTTTTGGGCATTAATAGTGTGCTATTAAGCATTGATTAGAATAAGATAATGGTGTCCTGTCTGTGAGCAGAGATCTGGCCCATGAGCTCGGTCACCCCTGGGCAGAGTACTGGGATTTCCTGGATAGTTTTCTGGACCTGCAGTCAACCGAAGGCCTGAAAATGCTTGAAGAATACCTCAGTAAAAAAGACTTCAGGGAGGCTGGAGAAAATGAAACCAGAAACAGGTTTAAAACCCCATCTCCGGGTAAGACCACTGACTCTTAACAGTTTTATTCTAATATCCAAATTTTTCAGAAACCCTTTCAACTGTTGATTGATTCCAGGAAATTTTTAGAAGACAATTTCACATGGAGAATGTAATAAATTGTTCAAAAATTACAAAGACATTAATAATTTGATATTCTATTCTATTCATTAAAGATTCCTGAATAAAAATGTATCACAGCACAACTGTTTTCAACATTGATCATAATAAGAAATGTTTCTTGAGCACCATATCATCATATCAGAATGATTTCTGAAGGATCATGAGACACTGAAGACTGGAGTAATAACTGCTGAAAATTAAGCTTTGCATCACCGAGATGAATGACATTTTAAAACAATAAAAGAGAAATTGTTATTTTAAATTATAATATTTCACAATATTACTGTTTTTACTTAAAAATAAAATAAAGCCCTGGTGGTTTGTTTCAAAAACAACCCTGATCTTTTGAACGCTAATGTGTATATATATATATATTTTATTTATATACATTTATTTCTAACAAAAAAAATAAATTTCTTTAGAATTATTGGGTCAGGTGAACTCAATTTTAAGGACTTTCTTGAGACTAACTGGTCAACTAGTCATTCACGCAACCTGGTTGATTTAGAAAATACTGTATTTAATTTTGTATCCTTAATCTTCCGTAGAATGTATTCTATACTTTTGTAGGGTTTTTTTCCCCCACTGACTCTTGCTTGTAATCTTTGTCAAGGTTTATTACATCAAATACAGTCATAATGTAGTTTTACATGACCATATCTCACCTATTTTGTGACTCTTACAGTTGTTTTCTGCTGTACATTATAGATTTGTAAATGTAAGTTGTGACTGGCTTATGAGTTGTGCTTGTAAAATGATTTAATAGATAAGCAAATGTGTGCAGTTATATATTGGATACTGGGGAGGGAACTTTGTTTTGTGAATGTTAAAGTATGTCTACACTGTACACCAAACTTTTTGATTTCCAAGACCTAGGGAAATCCTTCACTCCGTGATATTTTAAATTTCAGGCAAACTGAAGAAGTTCTGTAACTCCATCTCTGTGGGGGCATTTTTGGATGAGGGTGATGATATCAGCCTGGAGGAGATCAAGAACAGGCAGAACGCTGCCCTCACAAGTATTTCTTCTGTGTGCTCCAAAGATGGCCTGCAGGGGGCGGTAGGGGGGCTTGAGTTTCACATCCTACCAGTTTCCCACAGCGCTGACCTCATAGAGGTGGCGGCGGAGCAGGATCTACTGCTCTCCAGCAGTAAAAATGGCCTGTGTGAGCAGGGCCCCGGGGACAGGACTCCAAACGGGGACAGAATGTCCCCTCGCATCTGCAGTTCATCAAATTCCTGCATTTTGTCGCCAATCTCAAACCTAATGGCTCAGTTTGAGAGGATGTCTCTGCTGGATGAGCCAGACAGGACAAACAGGGAGAGAAGAAGAAGTGGAGGGAAACGTCACAGAGACGCTCAGACCACAGAGCTCACCTCCGGACTGGGCCACCTCTCGTTGTCCTCGGAAGACGACTCTGTGTTTGATAAAGACAGGACATCAGTGTTACGAGCAGCAGAGAATGATGGATTGCAGAGAAAAAATGAAGTAGATGCGAGATCCAGTGCAAGTTCAGACGAGTACTTTCTGGCCAATGAGAGGTTAGAACCTATGAACCAACGAACTGTAGAGACTCCAGGAGGCGAGCGCACGATCTGTGCCAGATCAAAGTCCTGGGATCATGGGGGAAGAGACCTCAGCTCCTCAGGGTCTTCCAGCTCCTACAGATCACTTGACAGTTCTCAGGACTTCATACTGCGGACTCCTCCTAGAGTGACGAAAAGACTCTTCATTGAAGGGTGAGAGGAACCTATGATCACTGTGATGCTTTACTTATTTCCAGTAGTATGGCAGAGAATTTAAAATTGTGATATCTAGGCTAGTCATGGAATTTCGTAAATATTAGGCTTTTATGGTACACATATGGTACATTTTGGTGTCTCGTGACTTTATTTTAAGCATAGACCTTAGTCAGGTTAGATGCCACATTGAATTGTATGCAGATAAAACGAGGCTGTGAGGGATAGACTTACGGTCTACAATGGCACACTCAGTGTAAAGGACCAAGATCACATGCAGTTTTCATAACTCACAACTTTTAAAACTGTTTTAGGAAGTTTTTGTCCATCAAAAGTGGACAAAAGTCAGCTGAATAATGTGTATGTTGTTAAAGTAGTGGTTAGAGAGTCGGACTCGTAACCCAAAGGTTGCGGGTTTGAGTCTCGTACCGGCAGGGATTGTAGGTGGGGGGAGTGAATGTACTGCGCACCCTCCCACCTTCAATACCACGACTGAGGTGCCCTTTAGCAAGGCACCGAACCCCCAACTGCTCCCCGGGTGTGTGTTCACGGTGTGTGTGTTCACTGCTGTGTGTGTGCACTTTGGATGGGATAAATGCAGAGCACTAATTCTGAGTATGGGTCACCATACTTAGCCACATGTCACGTCACTTTTTTTTTTTTTTTTTAAACAACATTACAGTCCTTTGAACACACTGTAAGTTTATCCATCACAGTCTTGTTTTAATTCCTGTAAAAAGTTAGGTGACCGTGATTTCACCAAGTACAACATGTTCAATGGGAATTGAGAGAATAATGGAAACAGGAAAATACGGAACTCCAGTCTGTCGGTCACTCCAAAAGCAACAGGGGCATTATTCAGAAATTTTACAGCCATTTCCATTAACCCTAAAAGATAAGGTGAATGTGATTTCACCAAGTGCAACATGTTCCTGGATCAACATCCATGTTGATCCTGGAACAACATTCCAATTAACCAATCAGAATTGAGGGATAACTTTTCAGGAAATATCTGTTTTAGGCTTACGATCAGGGTTAGGTGCTTCTACACCCTTGTTAATCAGCTATCATTTCATACTGATTTTAGGAATAAATTATGGGTAGGTTTAGGGGTAGGGATTGGGTTTAGTCTATACTTTTGGACAGTAAAGATGTTGATCCAGGATCAACAAAAGATGTTGATCCAGGAACATGTCTTACTTGGCAAAATCACGGCGACCAAAAAGTTAAATATGGTGCAACCTAGGGGTGTGCGATATATATCGTCTGCTATAATATCGTAATTGTTGTTTTAACGATGTGCGATTTAACATTATCGCGTATTTTGCAAAGACCTTTCAAAACACCCCTACATAGCACGCTTACATCACGTGAAGCCTGCGAGTACTCATTTAAAGTGTGTTTTTTCACTGCATGATTCAGTCTAATAAAATGCATTTAGAATGATCACAAAATTCAAGATATGGGGACAGAAAATGTATATATTTATATAATTTCATATAGTTAATCAATATCACACAGAGAGTGTCGTTTCTTTTTCTCCAAAAATTACCATGATATTGTTTTTTTTACAACAGTTAAAAAAACAAGAAGTTAATTAAGAGACTTACGTTTTAGACACCATATGCCCTGTTTTTGCCCTATTTCGACTACAAAAATAATTACAAACACAGCCGCAACGCTGTTTTGCGTCTCTGACGGTGTTTCGTTCCTGAATGAATCAACCATTTAAATGATTCGGTTCAATCGAAATGACTCGCTTATTAACACAGTGACTTGCTGCCACCTGCTGTTTTAATTTTGCATTTAAAGTTTAAGATACCAGCACAATAGGCTAACACACTCAGCAAAATATCGTCTAATTATCGTTATCGATAAAATCCCAGAAAAAATCGATATATTATTTTTGTCAATATCGTACACCCCTTAGAACCCTTTCTAAGGTGTATTGGTCTATACGTTTTTGTAGTAAAATAGATGGTTCTAAACCTAACAGACCTCTACTGAGTGATTAATTTAAGCTAAATGTGCAACCCAGTTCTGGCACTTGTTTTTAATTTATTCATCTTATTCATTCCGTTTTTTTTTTTTTCATTTAAGTACGTTTTCTTTTTTGTATACATTTGTATGCATTTTTTTAATATAAGAAATGTTACTTGAGCACAAATGAGCATATTAGAATGATTTCTGAAGGATCATGTGACACTGAAGACTGGAGTAATGGCTGTTGAAAATTAATACAAAAATACTAACTAACCATTTGCTGTAAAAGAAAACACAAACTTTTATTTAAGGTCCTGTTCTGTACAATTTGTGGATAGTCCCAGACAATTTTTATTTTTTTGGCTTTAAACCTTCACTCTTTCCTTCTTTTTTCAGGGATTCGCCTACCAAGTTGGACAGAGAGGTTTTGTCAGCTTTAGGTGGCACAGACATTGACCCTCTGAAGTATCCCAGCATTGACAAATGGAAGAGCACAATTCAGGCATACTCCCACTTAGAAATGCAAAGGTAGGCATGTGTGTAGCTCAGTGATGAGAGATACGTTACACTACTTTTTAGTACACTACCATTCAAAAGTTTAGGGTCAGTAAGATTAAAAAAAAAAAACAACTTTTATTAGGAAATTAATATTTATTCAGAAAGCATGCATAAAATTGCTCAAAAGTAACAGTAAAGATTTATATAATGTTACAAACGATTTCTATTTTAAATAAATGCTGTTCTTTGAAACTTCTTTTGTTCCAGAGTCATGATAAAAATGTTTTATCATGGTTTCTGTAATATACTAAATATATTAAAACAGAAAAGTTATTTTAAATTGTAATAACATTACACAATATGTTATACTGAATTTTTTTTTTTTTTTATCAAATAGATGCAGTCCTGGAGAGTAGGAGACTTCTTAAAAAAAACAAAAAAACAATTTAAAAATCGTAATGACAACAATAGGCCTTTTTTTAAAGATGCCTCTTGAGAACATCTTGTGACAAATATTTATGTACACTAAGAGGTCTGTATTTATGTTTTCAGCTGGCAGACTCCTGCAGTGATCAAGAGCCATTTCAGGGCTCACTCAGTCACCCCTGGCTCTCCAGTGAGCAGTTTGATGTCCCCCGCGAGCCGCTTCAGCCCAGCTCGTCACATGTGCTCACCGGACGTCTGCAGCCCCGGACGCTACAGCCCCGCTCATTCAAACTACAGCCCTGTGAGCTACATCCAGCGTATCCGACTTAAACATTTTGGTGACGCCCCCATTTAACAAACTCTGTCCATCCCATCCAGCCCAATTTCTACCGACTAGTAACTGAAGTAACAAGCGTAACAATTAAATATGGGATGGAACGTCGCCAAGGAGCACAGTGTCATAACGGAAGCCATGAAATGCTCAAATCGGGCTCCTAGTGCCGTGCAAACGGCAGATAGGATCTCACCGTCCTTCGGTTTGTATGCTCCTAGGTTCGTAGAACACAGCTCAAATAATAATATGCACATCTCCCGGGGGTTCCTGAATCATAATATATATATATATTCGGCACTTCTGTGTATGACACCAAGTGTGTTGATCTGTGATGGTCGTATAGACTTTTTCTAACCTTTTTGTTTTGTTCTTTCTTATCTGTGTGTATGTGTGTGTGTGTGTGTGCTTGGGAGATTTATCTGTGGATTTACAAAACGGTGTCTTTAATGGAAATGAACAGTTTCCCACTTAACGCAGTCATTTAAATTGGGGGGAAAAAAGATGTCAGCATATAAACCCAGATCTAAATTAAATAATGTAGTAGTAAATTATTGAATTATTTTTGCTAGTTAACTGTCAGTAGCACAAAACGCTCATTTTAATGGTTTTTAATGTAAAAAAAGAAAAAAAGTCAACTGACTGCCAGAAGTTATTTTTATTCTTTAATTGGAGAACTGCCTTAAATTTCTAAAAGAAAAGACCAACTTCTGAATCTCAAAAGCAGGTGTTTATTCATGCTTTGTTAATAGCAGCCTTAGGTGTTGGGGGAAAAAAGCAAGAGTCCTATAATGTGAGAATATTCCCCTTTTTCATTTTTAAGTTCAAAAAATGTGATTTATCATTTCTAAGTACGCATTTGTTTGCACTTTGAATTCTTTTTGGAGTTTGACACAGTTCACCATGAACAACAGATGAGACTCGGTTTGTCGGAAAGACATGAATCTGCATAGTTTGAGCCATGCCACATTCAAGCTAATGCAAATTTGATGATGGCAAGTCAGTACTGTCTTGTTACGTTAATGTCATGATAGCTGTAAGACTTAATGATTGTGGATCCGGAGTGTTGTAAGTGCACTTTAAATGTGTTCGGAAAAAATCATTGTCCTTCATCCCATCATAAATGGCCAATATTTCAGTCTCACTGCTAGATCATGTCAATGCGATTCTCACTGGCTTCTGAAATGGATCCATTTGCCAGATTCACCCCATTCGTTTTGGAATCTAAGCTACTTGACTAGAAGCAGAAAAGCTCCAGGTAGCTCAGTTTTATGTGATGAATATCTCAAGGAATCGAGTCCAGAACATCCTCTGTGGTACTTTCAGATCATGTGATCTATTTCTTTGGTGCCCATCATTCTCCGTGTAGTGCTGGCCTGTTGATCTTTGCTTTGTAAAGCTTTAGTGCCTTTGATTATGATCTGTTTGGAAGGGCCTGTGGCTCCTCCCCAGGGTATGACAGATGCACTGACCACATACAAGCTGAATAGACCTTTTTTTCTGTTTCCTAGTGTAAAATAGAGTACAGTAGCATTGGCATATGCAGTGTCTGAATACCTCTTAAATACGATTGTAAGAGAAGAAAAAAAGGTTTACCGTTTTAGTTATTGCTAGTGTTGTATCAATGCCAGCCTTACTTTTTGTTAAATGATGCTTTGTAGTGCCAACACTGGTGAATTGAGAATGAGTTGTAGTTTATTGTTGAGAATTGACTTATTTTGTTGTCCTGGCCTTTACGTTGCATGCATTTCTAGTCCTATTTTATTACAGTATACGTTAAAGGAAAGTATTTGATGTTCTATTGACGAACGATAAATAAAGTGCACAGTCTTGTAACTTTACTGACTTTCTTTGACTGTACAAGAAAAATGTCTTTATGGAAAACTAGCAAATTTACATTTCACTGAGGTACAAAACACATTCTGATTTGTCCTATTATTTTATTTGTAAACAATAAGGTCTTTTTATTATTTCTTTAAAATAATCTTAGTCACCCCACACTTCCAAACAATAGTGTATCTAGGTAAACATTAAAAACAGCCAAGAAATGTCTGGGCCATATTTTACCAAAATAAAAAAAAGATTTTGCATAAAAGAAAAAAAAGTGTCCAATTAGGATTTTATTTATTTTTATTTACATTAATATTTGTTTAAAAAGTGCCTTTTTTGGCACAAAAGTCACAATGCTAAAATTATTTATGGTTCTAAAACAGGCATGATGTCCTAATCATATGCCTTTTTTAGTAGTAGTATTGTATTTATTTTTTTCAGGTAAAATATGACCTGGACATTTTTTTAAATCCATTATCTGAATCAAACAATGAATGATATTACTAAACTCAATGATTGTATTTTTTACTGCCATAAACAACAACATACAAACATTAACACAAGAGTCATCCTAGACCTTTCAATGGCAAGATTCTCGCCTTTTTTAGCAAACTCACACTTTGCTTCTAAAACGGTAATAAACAATTCCATGTGAACAGTGCAAATACACACCAACTGCCTCAACAAGGCCTCCAGAGTTTGCATAATGCTGCTGGGAAAAGACACCTCGTCATAAACCTAAAAAAAGTACACTTGCTGGTTAATTCCACCTTTCCATGGCTGTTATAGATCAGACAAAGCATTGGCACGGGAGTGTCTAACTGAAGAAATATCAATAATTCTTAACTTGCTTGATTTAAAAATATAAAATTATTACACTCAAGACACTTGTGGAGTAACCGATCACCACAGCAACAGATTGTAGAGTTGCAAATGAAATTTTTCACAGAAATCTTCTCTTAAATTACAGCTATGTAAGATTATTATTAAACAAGCAAGATGAGTTGGTGAATATTAAATCACATTAAAAATTTTTTTTTGTGCATCTAAAAAGGCATTTCAGAACATTTTCAGGAGAACATTTAAGGAAATATTTCGACCCTTTGCAACCCTTAACATCTGTCCATCTCAATGATCCTTCGGTTCTAGGCTGTAATGAGGCATGAAGCCCGAGTCTCCCAGCGCTCTGAGAGCCACTCGGCCGCTGGGCCGAACCGTCAGCCAGGTGATGCTGCCGTTGTTCAGGCCCATCCTCAGCCAGCCCTCTGGAGGAAACTGCAGAGCCCTGGAACAAACATTTCAATTACATTCATGCTTTTGACAGACACTTCCTTTGAAAGAGCATAACAATTACCTCAGCATGTGTCTGACGAGTCATGTGAACAAACATGGCTGAAATATTTCAAATTTACACAAATTGCAAACTAGTACAAGAATCAAGAAAATTAAGAGTCACAACCACACAATGTAACTAATAAACTAAATAAATAACAATATAATGCAATCAAGAAATATATTTATTAGCAATTAGATATTACTATTATATTTATTAGCAATTAGTCATAACCACACAATATAAGAAACTAAATTATTTAATAAAAAATAATACTTTTCATAAATGAAAATTAATTTAATACAAATATTTGGAATATATATTTTTTCTATTCTCTAAAGCTTATCTCTTGCATTAGAGGTATGTATGAGCAACAGCAATAGTGATGTTTAGCATGTTTGACCATTGATAAAAGGTTGCAAACAGTTTTTCATGAATTCCATATATTCAATATGGAAGCCCATTTCTACCACATAATATGCTTGAGAAAAATATGCTTGAGAATATGCTTAATTATGAGATAGAAGTCACATTTTTGTCACAAAATGACTTGACTATGACCTGACTGACTTTTTGTCATGATATTTTTTTCAATCTCACAATTACGATTTAGTATCTCATAATTTCAATTTACTATTATGATTTTGTCATAATTACGAATTACCAAAGCATTCTTTTTTTCCCTTATGTGGCTGAAATGGGCTTCTATGAAACTTTTGCAACCACACACACATAACAATACAAAGTGATCAGAGCATACTTACGATTACATTTGTTTTTCATGGGCAGACTGCTGTCCATGAAAATGTTTTTTAAAGGGGTCATATGATGCGATTTCAAATTTTCCTCTCTCTTTGGAGTGCTTCAAGCTGTTCATGAATAGATAAGATCCCTGAAGTTGCAAAGACTAAAGTCTCAAACCCAAAGAGATATTCTTTTTAAAAGTTAAGACACGTCCACGCCCTCCTAAAACGCCTCATTTAAACACGCCCCCACATGTCTACGTCACGATGTGGGAAGATTTGCATAATGCCGCCCAAATGTTCACGCAAAGAAAGAAGGCGTAACTTTGATTCTTGCTGTAGTATTGTAGTTGCCTCCGCCATGTCGTGAAGGCGCTGTGTGTTTCGTTGTGAAAGCGAAACTACTTTGTTAGGCCTCCAAAAGAGGACACAACTACAAATCAGTGGTTAAGTTGTATTTACAACACTGTTCCAGAACAGTTCAAACCAAATATTCGTGTGTGCAATGCATTTAATGTTTCCTGAACCTGCAATGCCGGCTGTTCTGACTCACAACCTGTAAGTATGTTTTCATATTTAAAGAATTTGCCACTGACGATTCAAACGCGATTTTTGAGCAGTGTAGAGTAGCGCTTGTTGTTTGTCGTTTCTCCGATCACAATTGCAGACAAATGGTTTTATGTTTACGCGGCGCGATACGCAACGCAACGCATATAAAGACAATATAAGTCATTATAATCCGTAATTATGTCCCCTCTGGATGCAACAAATGCCTCGTTTATAATGGGTTTTAATGTTTTTGTCTCGTCGCTCCGGCCAGACACAGCATCACAGTATAAGGGGCGTAACATTTCCGGTCACACACTTGAGGTATTCGTCCAATCACAACGCACTGGATAGCTGGCCAATCAGAGCACACCTCGCTTTTCAGAACGATGAGCTTTGTAAAAATCGGCACATTTCAGAAAGGCAGGGCATAGAGGAGAAACAATAATGTACAGTATGTGGAAAATGTGTTTTTGAACCTTAAACCGCATAAACACATTGCATTACACCAAATAATGTTCTTTTTAGCAACGTCATATGACCCCTTTAAAAGCTTCAAAGAGCACAAAAATGAAGATTAAAAAAGACTGCACTGAGTAGCAAGTGAACACAAACCTGCACACAAAATAGCGGATGACATTAGCATGACAGACGATAATCTCGTAGCTGTCCTCCTTCTGCTTGGGGTCAGCTCGGTGGATGTAGCGGCGGAACGCTGCCTCGATCCGTGCGCCGTCCTCGTGGTACTGCTGAAACCAGCACAAGACTTTCACAACCATCCACGTGAGGAGAGGAAGGACCCCACAGCCCACTCACGACCAAACCAAACCAAACTCAACATTCTCCAGCAAACATTTCAGATATCAAGCTTTAGGATGACCAGCAGGAAAACAAGAATATTTGATGCTTGTTGAAGCGATTTGAGATGGTTTCATTGTGGGTTTTGTATGCCAGCAGTAACCTTAGCAGTTCGTTCTGTTATGACTTGCGTCATCAACAGAAACTCAACACACAAAGACAATCAAAAGTGGCACCAAACGTGGGGACTAACAGACAGTGCCTTCAGATTGGTAAGTAAAGACTTTGTTTGCACTGACCGCTGCCTCAGGTTTCCAGTGCGTGACAGGTGGGACGGGCTCTATTGGTGCACCCTCTCGCAGTAAATCACAGCTTACAAGCTCCACACCTACAACAAACACATGGGTCATACGTGAAGAAAATAACCATTCTGAATCTCTACAAAGGCAACATTTTACAACATGGAACATCAATTCATAATAATTATTTTAGTACACAATACAGGAATTGTCCAAGCTAAAACTAACAGACTGAATTGAATGTTTTCGGTCAGTTCTAGGGGTGGGCAATAGTTGTAAACACGATAAACCGAAAGAAATTTAACAACTAGTAGAAATTTTGGATTATCGTCACCACCGTCATTAAAGTTTATTCTTTTCGTGCATTTTTAGACCTTTCCAGTTTCAATTTACGATTTTAAACGGCTCAAGTGTGATCGACCGCACACGCAGAAAGCCGCCTGTCACACAGCACATGAGTACTAAATTGCGTTGTTTTTTTGCCTTTTTTTTTGGCCTAAATGGTCAAATACACAGTTAGGTACAAATGGCAGCCTTAAGCCTCGTACACACCGGGACGATTATCGCGCGCGCTTATCGCCAACGTTTTTCGACGCGTCTTTTGTGTTCATACCAAGCGATTATCGCAGGCGATGAGCCGAGTGAACGTGCAAATTCACTCCCTGACATTAGATGGCGCTTAACAAAACACAGAAATACTCCGGTACACATCGAATCCTATTTGATCTGCAATTCCTCTCCATAACAACTCCCTCTTATCGAGATTTTTGTAGTCGCTGTCGCGTTTGTCATAAAGCCCTTTGTGTTCAGACACCAATGAGACCAGCAGCTCTACATTCATCTTGCCTCCATGCATCTTCTTGGTCTACTTACTTCCTCTTTGTCGTTAGGTATCAATGTGTGCTCGGCAAGACCTTTTGTGCTTGAGCGCCACCAAGTCGTGTTTTACTGTAACTTCAGCAGCTCCAGGCACGTGAACAAAAGCGCCAATCTCATTGGTCGGCCAGTTTTTAACGCGGCGCGTCAAACCAAAAAAACAAGCCCGAGGAGTTTTTAAAAAAATGACGCTTTTACGCCTCGCGTTTTGCGCATCGGTGTGCACACTCACATTGGCGCCCTTTGTTTAGTCACGAGTTAAACGTCGGCGATAATCGCGCACGATATTCGTCCCGGTGTGAACAAGCCTTTAGGGAGTATTCATATAATATTTAAAATATCTGTTTTTGCCGTGGTATTGAAATAATCAAGAATTGTGAAATTTTCATGTCATCTAAAACGTTGCCATTTTGACAACCTTATTTCTAACAAAACAACTATTGTGATACTTATATATTCCGTCGTTATCTTAAAATAATATTACACATATCGCAATATAGATTTTTGGTGATACTGCCACCCCCTAAACTCACACACAAAGGTATAAGACTCAGAATAGAGTGGACAAGTCATATTGATTTGCTTTTATGATGCTTTTTTTTTTGGTCATTTTTTAGAGCCTGACATTATCCATCCCCATTCACTTTGACTGTACGGAGGGAAATACACCCAGATGATTTTGCTGAACTTCTTTTTTGCTCCATGGAAGAAAGTGAACTTTGGAAGACATTTATTTTTCTTTGCTTTTTAATGCTATTAAAAAATAAAACTACATAAGATTTTAAATAAGATTTTTTTTTAACCTTAAGACTAAATTTGAATTTTTTTTTTTTTTTTTAAGTATCAGCAGTTCCCTAAAGGGATATAAGTAATACAGTCAAGTAAAATATGTTTGATGGACATAAGATGTGGAAGATATTTAAATGCGAGATGTAAGTTTTATTTTTGGGGTGGACTATCCCTTCAACCATCTGTTTTTCTTTATTAGTTATTACTTTTTCTTTTAATTTAATAATGCACACACTTTGACAACAAACGCACAAGTGTGTATTTTCAGAAGAGACCACAGTCATGGTTGGGTCACGCTCATGCATAGGTATTAATACATCTCAGCCATTATGCCTTGTGTGTGTCATAATGTAATTAAATTAGGTGAAGAAGAAAATGACAGGTTTAGCTGAGAGGTTTCATCCTAGATCAGCTCTTCAGAACGAGTCTGTACCTGGCAGGTATTTGCTGATGATGTTGGCTGTTTCTGCAGCTCTAGTCATGGAGGAGTGGATGAGAACGTCGTACTTCAGTCCAAGCACTGCTAATCTCTGTCCTGTATACTCAGCCTGTTCACGTCCTGCAGTGAAGACAGAAATCTGCATGTGATCTATTTGGTGGCTTAATGTAGCATCTAATGGATTAGGCTCAACACTTCTGTTATTTGATATATGCCGAGGTATCGGTACCTAAAGGTGTCAGGATCCTCTCTTTATCTCCATCTCCCTTGAGGTTGTACTGAGAGTGTCTGATCAGGAAAATGTGGCGTGTGGCTTTGGGTTTGTTGTTCTCCGCTTCTGGACTTCCATTGTCACCAGCACTCTCCTTTCTCGTCCCATTCACCATAGACGAGGGGTCACGTCTGAAAGCATCAAAAAATGTTCAAACTAGCTATTCACAGTAGGCCCAATGAACTCAATTCAGTAGCACAATTCACAAGAGTGGATTCTACAGTAAATACAAACATTAGAGCAATGTTAATTGTAGAGTTACACTGAGAGAAACCGGACGCTAAAGACAAAACTCTTCAAGACACTGCGATTCATTTCTTACCACTCAATATTCCCTCAATCCTAATATTATGTTGCAGGTCAACTTGACTTATTTCAATTTTTGACTGGTAGGAAATGCTGGTTGACCTACCTATGATGTTTTTCTAGAAATTTTGTAACTTTTCCCTCATTTAGGTTCATGAAGAAAGTATTGCAAAATATGCATACAATATTTTCTACTTATACATTTTTCTTTTATGATTATGATGTTTGGGTCAATTTGACCTGCATATTTCAGCGTTAAAGGCAGCTGCACAGACTCAAAGTAATACCATTTTTAATGTATTTGATCAGTTTCTCAACTACCCTCTGAAGACTAATTTGTTGGTGAAGTGTGATTTAACCTTAAGGGTATTTACATTTACATTCATGGCAGTTTTTATCCAAAGAAACAAATGCTGCATTGAAGGCGTACATTTTTATCGGTTAAAAAAAAGCTAAAATACTGTTTATAATATTCATGTTACAGTTTTAAAAATCACATGTTCTCATGTTTTTTTTTTTTTTTATGTGTGAGAGGTATTAATGTTACAGGTTTGCTGTTTTACTTTATTTATTTTTTGTTTTTCATACTTTCATAACTTTTGATGAATTTGATTGAATCTTGTAAATACTGAATCCCCACCATGAAAAAACTGTCTCAGATTTTGAACATAATACAAGAGTCAAGTCTATATCTGAAGCTGGAACTGTCAGTTGGCAGACACTTCCAAAAGTGCTTAGCACATTATGTAAAAAGCACTATATTACTGACAATTAACCAGGTCTAAGACTAAACCTACCTGAGTCAATGAAAGGTCACTGACACCATTTCAATCACTGCCAAATGTGGTGCGGCTTAGTGGTTCAAGACCTTATATCGAAGCCAAAGGTTGTAGGATCATAATGGTGACCCATAAATTATCACCACTGATCAAGGCATCAGACTAACACTACCATAATTGGTTTTTGGGCATGATGCCATAGCTATACCAATGGTTTTATGAACATGTACCATGGTAGTACCATAATATTCTTCGAGAAACCTTAAAATACTATGTAAATACAACAGTAGTCAATCATAAATAGGTTTCTATTGCTTACTTGTCCCAATTGCAATCCCATCCGTTCGCAGTGGGCCACGCCGGAGGCTGCGCTGCGTGCACGGCAGCCAGGGTCTCTCTGAACCGGCATCGTTCTCCGAAGTACCCGTGCTTATCTGCAGCGACCGCCGCACACACGAGCACCGCGGATCCGCCGGCGATCCCGCACGCGAGACTGATCGCTCTCCGAAACGACATGACTCAAAAGACCGGAGTCAACGGAGAGAAAACCGGCTGCTCTTCAGCGCTATGACGCACCGAGTCACTGTGCTGAGGAAGTGCCACTGTTTCCTCTTTCTCACAACGTCAAGCGAGCAATAAGCCGTTACTGGTGTCTTGTCATGACAAATATGTGGTTTTCTTTCTAAAACCATGTGTGAGAGAATGTATTTGGACTCCAGAAATAAATGGTTTAGATAAAAACTGAATTTCCAACGGCAGTCACGACTACATGTGTGAAGACAGCGACAAAAAAACATAATTTCTGAAAATAAAAGTCCCCAGCATACAAGGTAACGGTTTAGTTTATGTTGTCAGTTTTATTCTTCAATAAATTAGTTATTAAATATTTTAAATATTGGATGTTTTATTTTGCTTATTTGTCTAACTACGTTTCAAAACATTTAATTAATTACATGTTTATTTGATCATTTATATATATTTCTATATTCTGCATTATTTTATATCATTCCATTTAAGCAACTCATCCAAAAAAAAAAATCTAATAACAGGTAATTATGTAGATTTTGTATAATACGATGTATTTTTTTCTATATCATAGCATTCCATTTATTTATAAAAAAAAAAAAAAAGGTATTTCTTGAATATTTGTGTAATTTCGTTTGAGTATTTTGCTCCAGACCTGTAAGTGGCAGTATGAGCAGTGGGTTATGTTTGATTTTGGTGGCGACATGTTTTGCTGTTGATGATTAAAAGTGATATTTTATTTAGTTTGTACTTATCATATATCCACATATCTGTCTCTTGCGTTGTAGTAAATATGGACACGGACGAGGAGGGAGACAATGACTGGGATCGCAGTTTAGAGTCAGACATGCTAGAGACAGGTGGGTTTATAACTGGACGATTATGTAAACTTGAGCATAAATATGTTTTTAAAGTAATGCATGAATATTATAGTTACTCACGGTACTCATGTTTGCATAATGTGTCTAAATGCACAGCTCAGTGACAGCTGCAAAATGAATAGACTGCAACAAGGTTTGGTGAGCAGCCTCTGTCAGGGATACTGTATCTACAATAACTGTGCTTTTGTAACTTGACTTTTCAGAAGGAAGTTCCACTGACAGCATTACATCCCTATCTCAGAGAGTGATCCTGCACTTTGACCTGGACTGCTTCTATGCACAAGTGGAGATGATCCGAAATCCTGCACTCAGGAACAAACCTCTTGGTAAAACACCACAGAATATAAACTTTCACTGAGTATAAAGTTTACAACAAATACAGTATGTCCTGGTGCAGTTGTAGAGACAATACACACACAAAAAACATTAGTACAAGTTCTACAAAAAGTCATAAATGTTCTAATCAGTCAGGTAATAAAGAAATAAGTACTACTAACAAAACTCATTGCTATCCTTTTGATAAATGTAATGTCATATTCTGTCTACATCTGTGGTCTCTTAGGGATACAGCAGAAGTACTTAATTGTGACGTGTAATTATGTGGCAAGAGAGCATGGCGTGAATAAACTGATGTCAGTGACTGATGCAGTGGAGAAATGCCCACAGCTGGTGCTAGTGAAAGGAGAAGATCTCACACATTACAGAGAGATGTCCTACAAAGTCACTGGTATAATCATACATTTAAATTTTTTGTTACATTGTTTTATTATAGGTGTCTTTAAATTGTATTTGTATATTTATATATAATTATAATAACAGTGAATGTACTTTGATAATTAGATTTTAATGCTATATTTTTACACTTTTTACAGTTTATACACTACCATTCAAAAGTCTCGGGTCAGTAAGATTTTTTTTTAAAGAAATTAATACTTTTATTCAGCAAGGATGCATTAAATTAATCAAAAGTGACAGTAAAGACTTCTACAATATTATTCAAAATTCTATTTAAAATAAATGCTGTTCTTTTGGGCAGTATCAGAATTTTGAAAAAAAAAAAAGTATAACAGTTTCCACAAATTATTTTCAACATTAAAAATAATTGAAAATGTTTCTTGCGCACCACATCAGCAAATTAGAATGATTTCTGAAGGATCATCATGTGACACTGAAGACTGGAATAATGGCGGCCGAAAATTCAGCTTTGCTATCGCAGGAATAAATTAAGCTTCAAATATATATTAAAATAGAATAGAGAAGTTATGTTAAATTGTAATTGTTTCCTATTTTTGTTTTTACGGTCAAATTATAAATGCAATGATCTTACTGATCCCAGTCTTTTGAGTGTTAAATGTAATGAGTTTGTTTTAGAACTATTAAGGAGCACAATCCAAAGGTCCCTGTTTGAACTGACTATAAACCAGACTTTGACATTGACTTTATCTGCCCAAGAATTGCTGATGTCATACTGCCCACTAGTGGAAAGGCTGGGCTTTGATGAAAACTTCATGGACGTTACAGAAATGGTGGAGAGAAGACTGAAGGAGACCTGTAGTTCAGATCTCTCCTTCAACGGACACGTATACAAACATGAAAGTGAGTTGGAGCGCCACCTCAAACAAATGAAACAGTGCTGTTTCAGAACTGGACGAATTCAGTGTACTCTTTTCTTGTTGTTTAGTTTTTCATGGAAAATGGGAGAATTGCTAGAGTTTCTGCTTATAATAAATCTTGCTTATCTTCAGGGATGGCAGTTGATGAGGAGAACGCCCGACTGGCTGTCGGCTCTGTGATAGCAGCTGAGATGAGGCAGGCCATCTTCAGCACGCTGGGACTAACTGGCTGTGCTGGCATCGCTAACAACAAACTCTTAGCCAAACTAGTGTCTGGAACCTTTAAACCAAACCAGCAAACCACCCTCCTGCCTTACAGCACCGCTGAGCTCATGAGCAGCCTCACAGGACTAATCAAAGTGCCTGGTAAGATGACACATAATCTCACCCATTGCACACCGTGCTGTTTATATTCTGTAAACATTGTCTGTGTTTATAGGGATTGGTTACAAGACACGTGAGAAGCTAAAGGCTTTGGGTCTGGTCAGTGTGAGAGATCTACAGTTATATTCTCTGCCTGACCTGGTGAGGGAGTTTGGTGAAGTGACCGCTAAAAGGATTCAAAACCTCGCCTGTGGCATCGATGACTCTCCAGTCACGCCGGCAGGTCCTCCTCAGGTATTCTCCATATTTATAGATTGTTCAGGCAAATATTAAGTAGTCTTCATCAGACAGATTTAACTGCTAATGGTGTTATTATAGATTGAAAGGGCTTTTTCATACATTTTATATGCACATTTAGTCAGTTAGCAGAAACTTTAATCCTCAGGTTATCATACAAGAGCGTGAAATACCAGTATTGTTATAATGCCAGTGTCAAGAGCAAGCTAGAGGGATAAAGAAGCTCAGAAGTAAAAGTAACAATAACATGAAGAAACACTGTTACTTCAGTTTAGCTTTCTCAATTTTTAGCTAGCTCCCTTCTGAAAAGTAAAGCTGAAGAGGACTAAAATAATCTACCGTTCAAAAGTTTGGGAACAATGAGATTTTTTAAAGTTTTTGAAATATATATGTGACCCTGGAGCACAAAACCAGTCTTAAGTCACTG